GACTGGATCATGCTCATGCAGATATCGGTCGGCTACGGGAGCGCTAGAGACGACTGGATCATGCTCATGCAGATATCGGTCGGCTACGGGAGCGCTAGAGACGACTGGATCATGCTCATGCATTATCATCAAATCAAGCGTATGGCCGCTCACATGAGTTGGCACATTTACATGCTGCTTCAATCCCATTGACGCTAGTAAATCCAAAAATGCTCTTGCATCAGGGTCGATCTCAACATCCACATGAAAATTATAGTCTCCAGTTAGAATAAGAGACTTCGGGGATAGAATAATTGTCTCGAGATAAGAGCCAAACTCCTCAAAAAACACACGAGGCGTAATAGGGTGTGTTGCAGAATACGGTGGACGATAAACAACAACTAGCTTAGCCCTCAGTGAGTTAAAACTAACTCGCCGCTCTGAGAACTCAAAAGACGATTTCTCCCCTGAATCAATCTTTTTTACATCGACAGCAGTCTTGAACAATAGTCCAGTTCCGCCACCCCGCCGAGCATTTCGATCTTGTTGAATGAATGAATGAGATTCCGGGGAGTAAATCTTAAGTTTTTCTGCAGTATCCTCCTCTGTTAACCAGGTTTCAGTGAGCGCAAATATATCTATATCATTGGAGCTGATATATTCCCATAAACAAGCAATTTTGGACTTCACAGCTCGCACATTAGCATGGCAAAGAGTTAACAATGGTGAACGGTCCTTTTGCGTTGGCAAAAATGGACTACGATCAACAACAATGCAGTTGGTAGTTGGGCAGGAGGTGTCAGAGTGAATATTTAATTCACTAACTTTAGAATGCAAATTACCAATCTCCTTGTTCACATTTTGCTCCAAAAACCCAGAAAAACATCCTATTTGAATTAATGGTCGCCTTGAATTTAATACGAGGGTAGGTATAGCTCTTCTTTCCAAACGGTCAGGGGTCTGTGTATCTGTTTGCTGATGATACCACGGTCTTCTGTATAGGCGACACGGCAGACGAGGCCATCGCAAAGTTNAAGCTTGTAGCTTTAGATTTTTTTATCGTGTTTAAATAAAGCTCATCCATCCATCTATCCATCCACGCCCCGCCCGACTTCCTCGTCGAGTTGGTTTCACTTGGGTAAGGCCAGCCCGAACCAGACTTGTCCAAACTGCAGGACCCAATGTTTGCGAGATGGTCAGGGTCGAAAAGATAGAAAGTAAAGTCGCCCTTCCATAATTCAGTGCCGTTTGAAGACGATAACACTTAAAAAAACCTTACCGATGGTGTTTTGATCGATAAACGCCGTTGGAAATTGAATTCACCAAAATAAACTGGAGAGACAAAAATGCGTGTGCCGCCGCAAGGCGCTCTACAAGTCGGTGTTTGTTCTATTTTGTTTGCGTTATTGCAGTATTCAGAACCCCCCATGTCTCCCTCTTTATCTAGCTGCGTACATATGATCTTTTTGAGGTAGAATTTACAATACCTTTGCAAACCAATCCTTCCCCTACTGTCCGTCCTCTGCAATGACATTTTTCTCGATGGCATACGGCATCTTTATGGCAGTCAGCAGGCTTGGTGCACTGATGTAGGTTCACTTTAAATAGAAGGGATCATCCAGAACCATATTTTCAAATCATTTTCATGATTTTTCAGGCTTTCTCTCTTTCTCCAAGATGATAAACTCTTTCTCTCAAAACAGTGGTGAAAAAACGTTACTAATAAAAGGCCTACTCTGGGACCTTAAGTTGCCTTAAGTCACCAAAAGTCGCCTTAAGTTGGCTTAAGTCGCTATTGGTTACGCAATGTTATAAGGGTTCCACCCTTCCCAATTGACTCCATTCACCCCACTCTAATCATATTGTGTTTATTGCAAGGGATTCTGTAAATATTTTTAAGGTTTATGGAGAGACTGGTGCTAACTTTGATTTTATCACTTCAGTCAAATAAAATCGCTTTAAGTCGCCTTAGATCGCCTTAAATCGCCTAAGGAGCCGACCATTTAACTTTTTAGGGGGGGATGGGTGATTTCTGGTCGTCAAGAAATTTTTTTCTAGCAATACGCTGTGAAGGATATTTTTTCCGATGTTTTGGTACATTTTTTCTGTTACATTTGGGCGGCATGAAATTTTTTTTCTTCGAACAAGCGCTTACAGGAATTTTTTTTCAAAATCACCTCCCCCCCTCAAAAGTTAAATGGTCAGCCCCTAAAGTCGCAATGTTTCTTCTGCCAATTCTGCTTAAGTCGCCTTAAATCGCCCAAAGTCGCCCAAAGCTACGGCGACTTAAGGCCCCAGAGTAGGCCTAATATAGCAGTTTGAAAATGTTCTTACCCGGTTTCTTGCAACTGTACTTGTAACACCGTTCCTCGCCTTTACAATCCTTGTCACTGACGCATGCTGTTGTGAATTCGGAGATGATTTGTTAACAAGCTAAACTCGACAATGGATATATGAAGTTCATATATTTTGAACTGCGGTATTAAATACGTATGATGCACGATCCTTCGCAGTAGATAGCGCTATTTATGCAATAGCGAAAATAGCTATTGCATAAATAGCGCTATCTACTGCGAAGGATCGTGCATCATACGTAAACTCGATATGTACAACAGTGTGCGTTATTCACTGTAAATGTAACAGGACATTTCTTCGGCAAGAAGTACGTTTACAAGAAAATAGGTGGAATTGTCGTTTTCAACCTTGCACCAAAAAAACGCGAGCTGGAGAAAAGAGTTTGCAATCTCCAAGATACAGACTTAATCTTGGTCACTTATCTTTCTACTCCTTAGGCGGAAACTGATTTAAAACTACTCCGCTGACTTAAAAAAACTTGAGAAGTGGTACGTAAACCCTCTAACAAGCTGAATTTTTAGAACGACATGGCGCGCGCTCATTCATCAAAACCGTTAAAAAGGCAGTTGTTCGAAATTTAACGTTTTCCTGATAAATGACTAAAGGCAAGTAATATGGGCAAGATTTCTTGCAAATTGTCGTACAACATTGTCGTTTTGCAATTTGGAAACAACATTACTCAACAACGATGCAAAAAAAACTAGGGGAGATTTCTGAAAAAGTACTTCCAAAGAAAAAGTACTTTAAAAATAAGTCAAAGAAAAACTTACATTTTGCAACTCCAACAAACAAAATTGTAATTATCACCAAAGCAAGAATCGGTCTTAACAAAAACCGCATTTTGGTTGAAGGTTTAGTCACCTGTCCAGAGGTCTATATTAGCATTTCAATAAGGTACGACGAAAGCACTTGTCACTTGAGTCGTTCTGTACTTTTACTGACTGTGTACGTCACAATGACTCAAGTAAGATATATCTCAACGTAAGCGATTAAGACTGGGTCCAATTCAACCGTGTTTTTGAGATTGAAGAAGATGAAAATATGTTTTTGAGAACTTTTTGAAACTGAAAACGCTAGCGCACTTACTACCTTTAAGCTTGGTAATGCACATTACTCGGTTGACCCATACACAGACATTGTAAAACTATCAAGTTCCGGAGACCGTTTTAAAATTGCCCTGAATGTGACATTTCACAATATATTTTCGACTGAAAAATCGTATGAAGATACAAACAAACTAGGACAAGAGTAATTCTTGTTCCGTGCAAGACAACTGCCGCAAGTATGTATATTCAAAGGTTTGCATATTGCAGACCGTCAATGCTAAAATTCAGAGAAATTTCGGCCTTAATGAAGCGGGAGGAAAAAATCCGATTCAATTCTCAAGTTTGTCAGAGATCAGTTTTAAAATAAGTCACTGCAGAGATAATTTTGAATTTGACGCTCATGTCGAATCACGTTCTTGAAGACAGCTAAGAAATTTTAAATGTTTATTCACTTGTCGGAGAGTGGCTTTTTCATTTTATACCATGTCCCAATGAAAGAAAAATAGTTCTTTTAGTTAGTTTTCCAACATGTGGTGAGTTCAGAGCAACTCGTTTCAGTCCAGGTTTAGTTTTGGCAAATTTTACATGCCAAAGGCGAAAAACAAATTTCTCAATTCTCTGGAAACAGCCGAGTCTTTTTCAGGAACGAAAAGCATAATGACCAAAATGTTTGTTTGATTTTCTCACTCCTGTTTACCGAAGGGAAAGTGGGTAGAGGTGGATATTCACCGAGAAACGCAGCGGTGAGGTAACAATCCACCCGGCTAATAACCATTGATACAATGGTGACTATTGTTTTAGTATATACTGAAACAGTGAGGTAATTTAGCACAAAGAAATTATTTGACTCATTTTTCTTGAAACGATTATAAAATTTCCGGGCGCGAATGCCGCAAACGTTACTCGGAGGTGATTAATTAACAACTATTCACCAAAGTGGAGGTGGTTAGTGGTGGATATTTACCGAGCCGCGAAGCGGCGAGGCAAATATCCACCACTAACCACCGACACTGAGGTAGTATATACTATATCTATGCTATATATAGTATGTATATAGTATATATATATATATAGTATATACTAAAAAAGTGAGATAATATACACTACCGTCGTTAATTTGAGTGATTTCTTCGCTTGTCACGGATGCAAACTGGGACGCCATTTTCCCCGAGTTGCTCGGAGGTAAATAGCAAAGAATATTCGGAGTTTGACTAGCCAATCAGAGCGCGGCTTCAACGCTATCCACTGTTTTAGTATACACTAATGAACAATTATTCACTGAGGTGGAAGTGACTAGTATACACTTAAGTTATGGTCCCGATGGAAACAGTTAGTTTTGTTTGTTTCAAGGTCCTGATGTTTCCCAAGACGAAGTCGAGGAAAACATCAGGACTCCTGGGAAAACGAAACTAACTAGTTTCCCGTGGGACCATACCTTAAGTGCTTTGTTATATATTTAAACTTTCCCTTAAACAAACATGTGGCAAAAACATGCTGTTGAATTCGGCGCGCGGGCAACAACTGCGCAATTGTATCCCGGTCGAGAAACATTGAATTTGGTCCAGGGCACGTGACCAAGAATCAACCAGTCACAATGCTCGTTTTGTTAAGTGAAAATCTAGGTATAGAACAATACTTGCAATTCACTCCAAATTAACCAGTCAGCGCACGTGATAAGCACTATCCTCTTGTGTGGTATATACAAAAAATATTCGGAGTTTGAGTTGCCAATCATGATAAGAGCGCTCCTTTTACGCTATATACGTACTGTTTTGGTATATAATAATTTCTTTCAAGCCCCGGTCCCAGACCAGTATGACTCTGACTCAATAAAAAACCGGAAAAGGTCACTCTACCCCAAAAATGAGTTTCTAAATATTTTTTTTAAGGGATGTAACCTTCTTCATTTTTTTTTTCAGCTAAAGCGGAACTAACTAATGATTTTATCCTACAAGGGAGACTTTCAGTCAGTTGCAATTGTGAGGCATATAATCCCTGGCTCCTTTCCTGGAGGCCAGTTCACACAGATAAAATACCATCAAATACAAAAATGTTTTTAAAAGTAGCAAAGCAAAGCGTAGCAAATTTATTAAATGACAAGGTAAGAAGTTCAATTCCGGTAATATTTTAACATCAAATATCTGGAAAAGTCTCAAGTAATTTCGCATTATTAAGGATAACAAAATAACAGGACTTGGTGGCTGTTTCAAGAAAAATACAATCAATCTTTCAAGAGGAAAGAAAAAAACTGCGATGAAACGTAGTTGAGGAGTACAATTGATGAAATTTAGATGAAAAGTCATTTTAACGTGAAAACTTCTGTTTAAAAAGGGTAGATATCAGGGTAAGGAATTAAAAAAAATATTTTTTCAAAAGTTCTTGAATCATTCGTATCGATCTGTACTACACTTAGAAGTATCTTTTACAAATACAGTAATATTATACAGATTTTGTTGTTGGGCAAAAAGATAAAAGTTAAAAGAATAAGCATGCAGCAGCAAAGCAAGCAGTAGGCGCGGTTCCTTATGCTGTGACGGCCAGGCGTCCAAGCAGTGCGAGGACGAGGCCGAGGGTGCTCAGGTGACTGGTGACGTGTACAGAGTGGCCTGAACCAACTTGGCTAGCGGGGCCTTAAAAAATTGAAAAACGAAAACGTAATCAAAGATTGGATTAAAACGCATATTTCTCACTCTTTAATATATATTCTAATGACAAAGAAAACCATTGGTTCAATCAAATGATCTAAACATAATTTATCATCCAAACGACGAGCAGATGGAAGTTCAAATCAGGAAGGTACGATATCCTTCATAATTAGGGCTCAGAGTCTAAGCATTTATAATAAAAAAAATTAATCGTAATTCTAACTCCTTTTGACTCGTGCACCCACTGTGGAGTTCTTACCTTTTTTAGCACATTTTCCCTTTGAATTCCTCTTGTATCCTTTCTTGCACTTGCACTTTCCTTCGATGCATTCTTCGTGCAATATGCACTTGCATTCTGCTCAAGTTAGAGAGAAGATATTACATGCTTGCCCCTGAATACGAATTTTATCGCCTAGTGTTAATGATGTCCACTTTTACGTGATTATCCAGCCCAAAGCAATTCCATGAACGCGAGTGCCCGCGTTTCGATAGTTATCAGAGCTTGTGACGCCTTGTGTTAATGATGTCCACTTTTACGATTTTAATGATGTCCACTTTTTACAATTTTAATGATGTCCACTTTTACGTGATTATCCGGCCCAAAGCAATTGCATGAACGCGAGTGCCCGCGTTTCGATATTTATCAGAGCTTGTGACGTTTCATTTTTGTCTGTCTTCCAAGAGTAGTAGACTTAGGCAATTTAAAATCCTAACGAGCACCACCTGTCCATAAATTTCAGTTGGCGAAAAATAGAGAGACCTGGTATCAAGGTTTCCCTCATATAATAGCAGATTGATTTGCTCGAGAACGCTTTCATACACAAAGAAATTAATATTATGCCAACAAACACTTACGAGGTTCTTTGACGCATCCTCCGCCATTCATCACATATCCTGCTTTGCACGAGCAAGTGTATTTCCCTTCCTGGTTTTCACACACCTCTCCATCACCGGTACACGGTGACTCAAAGGCACATTCGTCGATGTCTACAGTAATAACAGAAAGGAAAATGATAAACAGAGGATATTTCATGGTGGTGCGAAGATGTAAATTTTATGTTCGAGTTCGCTCACTCGTGAGACATTGCTCTTGCCACTCGAACAAAAAATTGATATCTTCGAGCTGACATGTAATTTTCTTTCTATCATATGGATAACAGATATACAAAATATCCTGTGCCCAAATTATTAAAAAAGATTTTACACATAACACCGCCAGCTGGGCTAAATACAAGTGAACTGGCTTTGAATAAGGCTAATAAAAATTCGATTACTAACTCTTACTTAAATCCTCAGATATGGTTATTTCCAGCCTCTTTTCTCAACAAAACTTTGAAGAGCATTGACCACTTTCATAAATGGCTGCCGGATTAATATTCTTTTGTTTAAATTTAAATTAGCCTTTCTGGCCTCGTTCTCCAGTTCAAAATTCAAAAGAAAACATTATCTCAAGCGAGGCTAGTGAGGCCAATTTGAATTGAAACAAAAGAATATCAATCCGGCAGCCATTTATGAAAGTGGTTTATAAGACTGTTCAGCACGAACAAAGTAAAATTTACCTTTTCGATCTTTTTTCGCAACTTTACAGAAATTCTTCGAAAATCTTTTAGATCATACAACGTTTCTTTAAGTGTCCTCGTTCTCTTGTTGCTCAGAAAATGCGTCTACATCTTGTCCCCTTACCGCAACAAATCTTACGGCGGCCATTATTCCAAGTAAGGAACAAATTAACTTCATTCTGAGAAGTTTGAAAAGGCAGGAATCGCGACGTCTTTGATCAATATGACCACTCGTGTTACATACGAATATCACGCCACTCGGTTCCCGGATGTAGTGGTCGAATTGATTCTACGAGTGTTTTAGTTTCGGTAAAACACTCCCGTCCATATATCAATTTTTTTATGTTTAATGGCGTTAAACGGAAACAGTATATTGTTATCTTTCTTACATTAGCCGTCGATTAAGTTTCGAGATTTTCCTCTTTTTTACGGTGCATCAAGTTATAGAAAAAGCCTGAGATCACACTTTTTCGGAAACCTTCGGAAAAACTGTGAGCAATATAAAGTCCTCTTAATAACACGATGATGATGATGATGAAATCTTTATTATTATAGATCAAACTAAACACTTGCAGACATACGTGCAAGTTTACAACGGATCTCTACAAACATTAAACTAAATAAAATTAAAAAGAGACCTATTTATAAAA